CGACGATGTTGCCTCGTCGGGGGCCGCTGCCTCGTCCGAACCGCTTGCCGTCGAAGACGCCGCCTGCGCGCCGACTCCGACTCAGGAGGTGGCAGACAAGGCTTCCTCTCCGGTGCTCAAGCCGCCTCCGACTCCAGGCGAGGTCTTCGTCTGGCAAGGTCCTGAGGTCAAGCGCGAGCCGTCAAACCCAACGTGCTACAGGTGCAAGCAAGAGGTCGATGTCTTGAGGGCACCATTGATTGGGAAATGCCAGGGCTCGTGGAAGTGCGAAAAGTGCAACGCGCGCGGAACGCAGTTGTCCCGCTTGTTCGGATCGTGGCCACCTGCCAGCTTCAGGAGGCTTGACTCCTCATTGCAAGCGAAGTTCTGGCAAGACGCAAAGGAGAAGGCTGGTAAGGATCAGCTCGAGGAGCTGTTCGTCCAGACTCTCACGACGACTCGGATCGAGCAGGAGGTTGCCCAAGTGGGCGGGGAATATCTGCCGTTGTCAGTTTACGCCCAGCGCGGGTTCGATGTTAAACGCATCGAGAAGGAGTGCAAGGACACCGAGGAACACAAGATCCTCGGAACTTGCTACCGCGTGGACAGCAGGGGTGGCTACTCGAAAACGATCGAGCAGCTCGCCCGCGCCGAGGTGCAGGAGCTGAAAGCGAAGGCGAAGGCGCCGCCTCCGACGCAGCCGACGCAGCCAGCTCCAGGCAAGAGCGAATCAGATGATTCGGATAGCGGCTCGAGCAAGACGAGCAGCAAGAAGGGGAATAAGTCGAAGAAACAGAAGAAATCCAAGAAGCAGTCCAAGAAATCCAAGAAGGCCGATAAGAAGGACAAGCGCGACAAGAAGGACAAGAAGTCCAAGAAGCGCGCAGCGTCCTCGACCTCGGATTCGGATTCGGACTCGAAGTCTGAGAATGACAAGGGCCTGCAGGCGAAACAGAGGAAGCTCGAGCAAGAGAAAGCCAAACATGCCAAGAAGAACGTTGCCCTGGCGACCCGCGTCTTGTGCAAGATCGAGAGGCCCAGGATCTCTCTTGATCGCGACCTCAAGGATCCGATGTCGAAGCACGTGCCGAAGTACGGCATCGATCCAGCCAAGAAGAAGCTCAAGGAGCTTGAGAAGCTTTACTCTGAGTTCAGAAAGGTCCACGACGAGCGCGGCATGGGGGGTGAGGTGACGACAACGGTGGCTGAAGTGAATGACCTTGTGAAGACTTCGATCGAAGCTGCCGCGCTCCTTTCCAAGCTGCTGAGCACTGCGGAGAGCAACGTTCCGAGCGGGGACGATGTGTAGGCTCTCTCCGTCTGCGTCTGCTGTGACCGCCCGTCTTCTCACTGCCCGTCTGAGTCTCTGCGGGGACGATGTGTTAGGTCGGCGCTGCAGTCGCGCGGGAGGCATCGTGCATGCTTCCAGCCAGCTTTGGCTTCAGGCCCGCCCTGCCGACGAGGGGCTGACATCGCCCAGCGCTCGGTTAGCCCTGCAGTTTGCCATGACGTGGGTAGTGCCGCGGATGGCGCCCGACCGCGCGAGCCCCGACTGCACCTGCTAGTCTCAGGGGGCACGCCGCGATCACGGGGTAGCGCTCAGTTTGCAGCACCGCTCGGGGTTAACTCGCACCAACTTCAATGGACGGTTGTGAACAGTGGGAAACCGACCCCAGCCCCCACAACAATGGATTTTAGATGTCAACGTTTAACAAGTATGGCGAATGTGCGTAGGTGTAGGCGTCTTGTAAGGGAGGCCATTGCCAGCTGCCGCAGGGGGGGGGGCCCGCGCCCGCGGTCTAGTTGGTCTAAAGTTCCTCATGTGGGGGGCGGGGGTCGGTTTTCATGCGTTCAGGTTGCTCGTGAAAAATCCATCGATCAAAAACAAGCGGTTCAACCGCTCGGCGGATCATCCGCCAGTTATTTTCTTCATCTTCTCAAGCTCAGCCGCGGCTCAACCGCTGAAAAATCCAGCAATCAAAAAAAAAGCGGATCAACCGCTCGGCGGGTCATCCGCCAGTCATTTTCTTCATCTTCTCAAGCTCAGCAGCGGTTCAACCGCTGAGCGGGTCATCCGCTCGTCGTTCATTCCTCCTGCTCGTCGGCCATTCCTTCCTCTCATCCTCCGTACTTCCATTCCTCCTCCTCCTCCTCTTCCTCCTCCTTCCTTGCGTTCCCCGTGCTTCCATTTCACGCCTCCTCCCACTCCTCTCCCTCCTCCTCCTCTCCCTCCTCCTACGCCTCACCCCCTTTCACCCATCCCTTCCCCTCGCTCCCCCCATCATCCTTCTCCTGCTGCTTGTGCTGATGTAAGTTCAGCATCTCCGCCCCATCGTTCTTTCCGCAGCCATTTCAGCATCGGGCGATCGGCGCCCTGTCCCGCCTCCCGCCCCTCCACCGCTGCCTCCCCGATCGCCTCTGTCGGCCATGGAGCCGCTCGCGAAACGGCAGAGGCTCCTCGATATGTTGAGCAGGCGGAACTTCAGCGATAGCGACGGCGTGGCGGCGCTTGCCGCGCTGGGGAGAGATGAAGCGGCGTCTCGGCGAGATGCGCGGGAGTGCGTGGATACGTTCACTGCGGACTTTTTTGTTCAGCCGACGCTGCAAAGGCAGGGCGGCGACGCCTTTGACTGGACCATCGCCAAGTATCAACTTCTCCCCCCGAGGTGTCTTGCCCAGTGCGCGGGTTTCAGAGAGGAGTTCGAGAATGCAGTGGCGAGGTCACCGAATAGTTTCGACAGGCCGTGGCGCCTGGCGCTCTACATAGATGACGCGGTGCCTGGCGATGCTTTGAGGTTGAACAACAAGCGAAATACCACGTGCTGGTATATCGGCACACTTGAGATGTGACGCTATCTGCGACGCGAAGAGGCATGGCTGCCCGTTGGCGTGCTGCGCGCCACCATCGCTAAAGATCTGCAGGGGGGGTTCCCAGCTGCGGCCAAGGCGCTCCTGCGTTCGCTCCTGCTCGGCTCCGACAGCGTCGCCGTGGCAGGCGCCAGCGTGCCGCGCGGTGGCCAATCGCGGATTATGTATTTCAAATTTCAGCGGTTGATCGGTGACGAAGTTGCGACGAAAGCGTTCTTCGACGCGAAAGGCTTTGGCGGCATTAGGTGTTGTTCCATATCATGCAAGAACGTAGTGAAGCTGAACAAAGATGGCGTGACTGATTCGCTGGTCGATCATCAGACTGGCACGTACCTGGTCGACGTTTCGTGCTCTGATCCTTCGCAGTTCGACCCGGTGTCAGACGAGGACGTCTGGCGCACGCACGATATTCTGGATGCCGTGTGCAGGCGTGGGGGTGCGTTGAAAACGGCACAGACAACGATGGGATTTTCTTTGAACGAACACGGCGTTCTGGCCGACAAGGGTCTTCGCCCACACGTGCTTCCACATTCTTGCTTGTTGCGCGATTGCATGCGCGTGTACCTGGCAGGCGGCATCGCGAATATCGAGATTGGCTTGCTTTTTAATGGCGTTGCTGAGTGTACTCCTGGGTTTTCCTTCCGTTTGCTGAAGACGTTCGCCGAGGCCGACTGGCATTGGAACCCTGGAGGGTTGACCAGGAGCGAGTTCGCTGACATATTCAACGGGTCTCGGGAGAAGGCGTGGAAATCAGGCGGTGTCTTTCGCGCGGGGGCCCCTGAACTATTGTCTGCATACCCATTCATCAGATACTTTGTTGTTGAACACGTTCCCGCGCACAAGGTGCAGTTGGAGCGCCAGAGCTACCTCCGTCTCTGTGACGTTCTGGACAGCATCAACGAGGCAAAGCACTATTCCACGCCCGTTGCTATGAAAGATATCATGCGGCGTGCAGTTGGCCGTTTCCTTGACGCGCATAAGGCCGCGTGCCGCCTCGACGCCATCGTCCCAAAACATCATTATCAGTGGCACGCTGTGTCAGACCAAGAGGACGACATATTTCTTGATTGCTTTGTGTACGAAAGGAAGAACAAGATCGCGAAGCAATCAATGACTCACATCGCGAACGCGGCAGCATTCGAGAAAAGCTCGGTCCAACAGCTTCTCGTCAAGGTGTTCCCAGCGATGGGCAAAGTCAGGATGACCGAATTGTGCGAGCCCGTGGCGGTGAGCCAGCCGTTGTCCGACAAATTTGGCCAGGTTTACGTCGTGTCCAAACAGATGAGGTGGCGGGGCTTGCTGCTCAGAGTTGGCAGCGTGGTTTTCATTCAGAACGCGGCGGTCGAGGTTCAAGTGTGCTTGTCCGCAGGTGGCGTTCTAGCGCTTATCGTGGGAAAGCTTGCGCTGGTGCGTCGTGAGCCGCTCGGTGGGTACTCTATCTGGACTGGAGCGGGACAGTCGGAGCTCCTGGTGCCCGAGGGTGCGCGCAAGGCGACTGGATGGTTCCTCAAGAGCGACAACACGCTGGCGGTGATTCACTGAGCTCGGAGAGAATCATTTGGATAAAAAAGCGGATCAGCCGCTGTAGCGGATTACCCGCTCATCCGCCCCTCCTCATCAAAAAAAAAAAAAAAAAAAAAAAAAAAAAAAAAAAACGACCGCTAGCGGATAAGCCGCCACATGCGTCGCGTTCCCCCCCTCCTTCCATGTCTTCCTCCGCCGCCTGCCTCTCCGTTCGCTTCTCCTTTTTAATTTTCTGTGCCGCGATTTTTTTTTTTTTTGTTTGTCTTCGTCTTTTTTTTTAGCCCGTTCAGCTGGCCCTTCTTAGGTTAGTTAACTTAGTTGACTTAATTGAATCACTTATTTCTTGGATATGTTGCATGTTATGTCGAATACATATCCCTAGGTTATGTCTTATTTGTTCTATCCGCAGATGTTATGGACATGTCAACACCTATAACGTATTATATTGATACTGCAAACATGTCCAGACATATAACTAGGGATCGTGTTGCTTATAACTAGGGATATCGCAAGTTTTAAATCGTACAAGCTACAACAACTCTGTCGGCCATCCAAATGGGCTCCTCTGGGCACCGCGCCGGGGGCCGGTTTTGTGAGGATGTCTCAAGCGAGGGCGCCGGTTTGGGATTCGTCGGCGGATCCACCGGATCCACCGGATATGTCCGGAAACGGTGCCGGAGGCCGCTCTGGGCTCCTCTGGGCACCTCCCCCGGGGCCGGTTTTGTGAGGATGTCTCAAGCGAGGGCGCCGGTTTGGGATTCGTCGGCGGATCCACCGGATCCACCGGATCTGTCCGGAAACGGTGCCGGAGGCCGCTCTGGGCTCCTCTGGGCACCTCCCCCGGGGCCGGTTTTGTGAGGATGTCTCAAGCGAGGGCGCCGGTTTGGGATTCGTCGGATCCACCGGATCCACCGGATCTGTCCGGAAACGGTGCCGGAGGCCGCTCTGGGCTCCTCTGGGCACCGCGCCGGGGGTGAGGATGACGGTAGTTCCACAGAAACTCCTTCAAATTATTGGACAGGGTCTCGGTGATTGCCCCAATTTTGGAGCGACAGATTTTTGCTTCGTTCCCCTCTGGATCAAACGTTCATTCTGGCAGGGCCGTGGCTACTATAGATGAGCATTTATTTGTCAATGCAGCCAAGCACCATGGTTTTGAGGTGCCCCGGTTGATATCCAGCTATTCTCTTCCTGAGTTCCGCCATGAGCAACGTGGCAGACGTATAGTGCAAAAGGCAAAGAACGACGCAGTGGTTGAGAAGATTGTTTCATCTCGATACCGCCTTTTCCCTAGCGGTGTTCGTGCGAATGTGCCGATTGCCCTTGAAAGTAAAACGATTTATGTGAAAGTTTCCAATGGTCCGATCCCCCCACTGCCCGTTGGTGCTTGCAGTGGAACGGCGCTTGACATGCATCTTGAACGTTGTGCCAGACTGTTCCGACCACAAAACGCTATCCACTTGAATTCGATAATGCCGCCCGTTTCGAAACCAGCCGGGCTTCTGAGCATTGGTGGTACTCATACGGAGCTCCGTGCCGATGACCGTGCTGGATCTGTGCTCCGTGAATTGGCGCCGAAGCCGATGAAGCAGTTCAGGGAGAGCGAGGACCTTTCTGATACTTTGGCCTGTGCGATTGATATTAAACAGGACGAAGCTAACCACACGTCTGTGAACACGTACGTGAAGACTCCTCATTCGTTGTGCTGCTCGCTCGGAGCACAGACACATGTGTTCCTGGCTTTCTAGTGTGATTGCCCGCTGTGTCGCGAGATCTTGGATTCGATTGACTGCGCAAGTGATTCGACACATGCATGCCGATTTGATTGCAAGTTGCCCTGTCGCATCGACCCACATACTGCATTAGCGCATTAGCACACATATCGAAATAGCAGCCAAGAGAACTCGGCGCGTGAAGGGGCTGCGCTACCAACAAAATACGCAGCGTTTGGTGCCTTCGGTGCAAGGAAGCGCTGCGTAAGTTTGGTCTGTCTGGTTACTTCGGCGTGGAGAACAAGACACACTGCGTATGTCTGTGTTTTCCCACCCGACAGGATGGGGTTGGTAGATTTCACGCCCGGCCAACCCCACCTTGCATTTCGCGGCCGCCAGACCCCGAGTTGTCCCGATGACCCCCGACTCCCAGGTGTCCCGCTTCGCGCCCGGTCAACCCCACCTTGCATACCGCGGCCGCCAGACCACAAGTTGTTCCGATGATCCCCGAGAATCCCGGGTGTCCCGCCTCGCGCCCGGCTAACCCCACTTTGCATACCGCGGCCGCCAGACCCTAAGTTGTGTTGATGATCCCCGAGAGTCCTGGGTATCCCGCTTCGCGCCCGGCCAAAAGTTGTCCCGATGATACCCGAGAGTGTTGGGTGTCCCGCCTCGCGCCTTCGACAAACACGACCGAACATAACATGACAGAACAGGAAATGATGACATATCAGGAAACGGCAGAACGGAACAGAGCATGACAGGACATAAGATAACAGGACATATAAAGGCCATGACAAAATATAGCATAATATAACACCGCAACACAACACACCAGAGCCGATCATGACATAGCCAAAGACGACATACTACACCATAACATAACCGAACATAACTTAGCACGCTTTGACCGAACACATGGTTTCATGATCAATAGTCATATCATATCATAACACGACCTCACATTATATACATACTCGCCATAACATATCATGTCACATTACATATCGTATCATAGCATATCATATCATTTCATATCAGAACATAGTATACAATGCCGAGCCGTCAACCAACATAACATACCATATCATATCATGGGGGAACATAAGACGACAGGAAGCACCAGCAGCAGATCATGACATAACCGATCATGACATAACACACCGTGGCCTACCATGCCAGAGCACATCATGGCAACATCACATAACATATTATATATTACGGCAGCAAAACACCGCGACATGTATTCGCAGAGCTTGTCACCATATAGTATACCGAGCAGAGTAGACAACACAACTACGTAACATGTCATATTAGGTCGTAGTTTGACATATCATACCATGTCGTACTATAGTGCCACGGAGCAGGTCATACCATGACATTGCAACTCATACGGTGGCAGAAATGATAACAACACAACACATTCAATCACAAGAGCCTGCTGCCACCCCTTCTGCTCCGCCCGCGCTGGCGGAGACCCGAAGTACGAGCCTGACTCCGACGAACAAGAGGAGGACGGCCGGGGGTTTTAGCTTGCAGCGGGCAGGTGGCAGCCCTTCGGAGTCGGGGCCCCGTGCGCCCGGCTTGTGCGAAGGGGGTAGCGTTCTGATCTTCTCGTGGCGCGCAAGCCATCCATCCATGGAAGGTTGTTGTGCTGTTTTTGCTTCCGGGGGTTTCCCCCTCTCAGATATCCGACGATGTTTTTTTGTTTTGTTATTCCAGGCATTTTCTTTCGACTTCGGTCTTTGTAGGGCTGGTCATCGGGCCCCAGGACCATCAAACATGGGTCTTGGACGAAAACACACCATGGGAAACGGTCGGGACTTCTGGGGCCACGGACTGGGTTAGTGGATTCCCGGGGCGCCGGGGCCATGGAACAAATTGCTCGGGACGAGACTTCTCGGGGCGCACACCACGGCCAGCGGCGATTGATTTGTCACGCGCACGGCGCGGGGGGATATCAGCGCCGTCCGGATTTTCATGTTCTTGCCTTTTGTCGGGGTTTGCTTGGGGCGGCCCTCGCAGCTGTGGCTGGACGCAGCCTGCAAAACTGAGAGTTGGCCGGGGTGGATCTCGCGAGAACGGGTTTGGGGCGAAATTTTTGCAGGTCGCCCGTTGGGGCGCGACGATGACCGCGCCTGCCGCCTCGCGGCCTTGACCAGAGAGGTATTGTTATCCCTGGGAGCCGCGCTGGCAGTCGCGTTTCGGGCTGCGCGGCTCGCAAAGCTAAGGCTGCCCAGACATGGCCCATCTCAGCCCATCTCGATCCGATCGATTCGATGGCGATGACGACCGGCCCGATCCGATCCGACTCCAGTACTCCACGATTCGATGCGGCCGGATGCTTGCATGGCGCTGTCGCGCATCCTGGCGCGGCCGACTCTGTTCGCATTTCGACTCCAGCTGCAGCTGGTCCCGACGCACATCTCCATTCGATCCGATTCCTGCCCAGATCTCCAGACAGCCGCGCGTGCGAGGCGGGCGACCTGGCCCACTCGGTGGCTTTCCTCGTGAGGCGCCACCGATCCCCAGGGGAGCCCCGAAGCCCGCCAGATCGGCGCCTCGGAGCCGTCGGGGGCTTCGCGGCGCGCGAGGCTCAGGTGGTTCGAGGACTGCAGCCATGACGCTGAAGCAGGGACCACCTGGGGCGCAGGAGGGCTCTGATTTTCGGGCCCTTCCTCGGATCCAGGTGTGGGAGCCAGTTCGTGGCCGAGGCTCGCCGTGGCCAGAAAAGCCCCTTCCTTCCACATTCAGCGTTCATTGTGGTAGCATGATGGCTGCAAGGTTGGGGGGATGCCTTGGTTGGGGCCAAGACATCTCGTAGATGTCATAGCCCCCTCTGCTTCTTTCAGCACACATCCGCTGCCCCCCCCCCCTCGCCCGCGCATATGCCTCGGTCCATGCCCCCCCCCCCCCCCCGCACCGTACCCTTCCTGGCCTCCCTTTTCGGCGCCCCTGGGCAAATCCGAGTGACCCATGGCAGGAATCTAGACATGCGACGACGTGTTTTTTTCCATGCGCGGCCCCAGGGGTTCCGACCCCTTCCCCAGGGGTGGTTTTCGTCCTGGATCAATGTGATGGTCCTGGGGCCCAATGACAGGTCCCAGGGGCCGAGGTCGAAGAGAAAACGCCCAGATTGAGAAAAACACATTGTCGGAGATGTGGGAATGGGGCATTCAGGGGGGGCATCGCTGGACACCGGGCGGACATCGCCGGCCGGCTCGTCACCGCCGGCTCGAGGCGGCAGAGTGCGATTTTCGGCAACCACCACAGACGCTCCACCCTCTCCGCGCCGAGGTGGCGCACCCATGCGGGCATGCGCAGCCGTCGGGGCGGTTCGGGTTGCCATCGAGTCATCGAGGCCGCCACCGTAGGCAGGTGCGTGGTGGGGTTTTGAGCCGCCTGGCAGAAGAGTTCACGCTCTCGTATTTTCGTCGTCGGTCCCGTGGGTATCTGCGTCTGGCGGAGCTTGCCATCCATGCGGGAGCATTCAGAGTACCCAGCTGCCTGCGCAAACCCCGCCGCCGCGCCAGCGCAGCGGCCCAACAGGAACCAGCGCGCGCTGTCGGCGTTATCACGCGTTTTGGGCCAGGCCTTGGGGCCCCGAAGGACTTCGCCATCCGGCGCGCCCCGCTGGCAGCCTCTCTCGGCGGCTCCCGCGTCGTTCGGTTTCCCTCGGGCCTATGCCGTCGTCCGACAGCGGGCCTGCTCCGCCACCGCGCCAAAACTCGCGTTGCTTCTTCGGCCGCCCCATGCTCAGCGCTGAGTGGACGAAGAGCGGTTTCACATTGGCCGTTTCGCCCATTGGGGACGCCTGTCTTAGGGCGGCTAGAAAGTTTATCCCCCCACATGCCGCCGTAGTATAACATTCCTGGGACGGGCGCCCCCCATGGCGGAATAGTTGATGGTGTACGACCTTTCTTCGCATGCTAACTGTCCCCCCTTAACCTTCCCAGCCGCCCTGGGACAGGTGCCCCCGATGGCGGAATAGTTTTGGTATTCTACTTCTCTTCGCACGGTAACCGTCCCCCCTTTCGCTCCTTGCAGCTCGAGTCGGCCTGAAGGGCTGGTACGAATGATGCACCATGTCTGTGGGGCCCTTCTTGGCCTCCCACGGGGTCGGAATGGATGGGGTCAAAGGGTCGCGCCGCAACGGCGGTGCATTGGCAATGCGGCGCGTTCTGCGTTTACGTCGTGGCATTTCCGATGCATCGGCGAGGCAGTGTGGCCCCCCGACCCCATCTACTCCAATTCCATTTGGGCGGCTTCAACTTTTGTCCTGCTGCTTGACTCGGTCGGAAATTCTGGTCAGGACGATGCTTGGGGAGAGGTCTTGGGACTGATTCCAGCGGACTGGGGACACGGTCCGTTTTTCTGAGTCCCTTTATGGCTCAATATTCTGCAAAGACCGGCCCGTAGCCGCTGAGCGGCGCGTGTGGCCAGGCATTTTGTTGATTCGCCAGAGCGTGTGACAGCAGCGGTCATGATCAGGCCAGCGGCCGATTCGCTTGTGGAGCACAAGTGGATTTGGAGCATTCAGAGCAGGAATGCGACAAAGCCAGCGATGACGGCGACAACAAGTATCCTGAAGAAAACGAAAGCAATTGTACACTATACGCAAATGTGTGCAAATTATCCTAGCCTGAAGCCCAAGTAATGATTGATTGCGCCCCGCAGGTGTACGCTATGTGGTGCAAGCTAAGTTGTGCACTCTATGTGGTGCAATATGTGTGGTGCAATCTATGTGGTGCAATGTACGTGGTGCAAGCTGTATGTGATGCAAGTTGTGTTGTGCAAGCTAGGTTGTGCAACCGGTGTGGTGCAGTATAAGTGGTGTTGCTACATGGTGCCCTGTCTGAAGGTGCGCGCCGCGTGGTGCAAGCTATGCGGTGCAAGCCATGTGGTGCAAGCTACGTGGTGCAAACCATCTGGTACAGCGCACAAAGCGCCCACTGGCGGCGACGTGGCGGAAGCCCTGAACTCCCAGCCGGCGCACTGGGCGCCCACGGGCGACGACGGGGCGAACACTTCTAGCAGGTACGCTCCCGAACGCATGTGGTGCGCGCAAGGAGGCTCAGGCGTTGTTATTCTGAATTGGTTCTGGCCTTCAAGTGTGCTCGGGCTGCGTCTCCAGGCCTCGTTAGAAGTGTCTAGAGAGCGTTCGGTTATCGAGCTCGCCGGCCGATCCGCGACGTCGCCAGTCATCGGAGCCCACAGCGGTTGGTAAGCTGACATCCGTGATCGCGTGGGCTCTTATTCTACGTTGCAGCAGGCTTACCGCGCCGAGCACGACTGCTCATGTCAAAGTGGCGAGCGCGGGCTCGGTCAGACCATCGCATGCTTTGAACATTATGATGTTTGCTCTGAGCGCCACGGAGTGTGTACAGGGCAGCACGCCGAAGGCACGAATCATGTTGATTCAGCAGTTGTTTCCTACTCCCGAGCTTGTCCTACGATGATCCTCATGCAGACCATCGTCCCCTCGAATATAATCCTCGTGCCTCTGTTCTCGTCAGGCTTCGACACTTCTTTTGGGCACCCGTGCACTTGCCTGCCTCTCGCCAGGACGGTGAGTCTCGAGACAAGAGCTCGAGCGCGTGAGCGGCCGACGAGCAGCCCGATCGGCCGCGCTGTCAGCTCGCAGCCAAAAGAGAACGCCTCACCATACATTCCGCGCTGCCCGGGTCGCCTCCTCTTCGGCTACGGGCGAATTCTTGGAGGCTTCGCGCGGCACGCATCAGTTGTAGCATCCAGTCGACATGTCCGCCCCCACTCCAGCCCCCACCACTAAGATATCGGACGACGTCCACGTGGCGATGGCCCGACGCAAATCTGGCGTGAACCAGACTTAACATGAGCCTCGAGTTGCCGCGCGAGGTTTCCAGGATGTTCCTCGGAGCTTCGAGCCGCGTGCGCGGAGCAGCCCGCATTCAGATCGGAGTGAGGGGGCTGAGAGGTCCCCTGCTGTCCCAAGTCGGGGGACGCCAGCTGAACACCGACGACGGGCCAGGCCTGGGCCAGGGAGGAGGAGGAGGAGGAGGAGGAGGAGGAGGAGGAGGAGGGAGGGAGGAGGAGGACGGTTAGGAGAAGAGGAAGGGATGCGGGAGGATAGAGAAAGGGAGGAAGAGAGGACGACGACGACGATGACGATGAGGATGAGGCTGAACAGGCGGATGATGTTGATGATGATGGTGGTGATAATGTCAATCATCGGAGTGAGAGGCCGAACGGTCGTTCATTGTTCCTGTGCGGGTGGCTGAAGTGAGGTTCTGCGGTGCGGATTGTTGTTGTTGTTGGTGGTGGTGGTGTTGCTGTTGCTGTTGCTGTTGCTGTTGGATGTTGATTACCTAACAATTATTATTGTTGGACCCACCCCAAGCGCTTTGACGCTCTCGCCCCGGCGCCGGCTACTTTTTCATTGAACATGAGGTTCACGCTCGAGCGGTTTGGGGGGGGCGCCAACACCGGCCCCCCAACAACAACAACAACGCTCCCGCTCGAGACCTCTTTCTTTGACTCAGGGCCGGTGCTCTTGCTCGCCGCCGAAAGCCGCCGTTCCAACAACACCAACGCTACCGCTCGAGACATCCTCCCATTTTACCTTGGACTGGCGCGCTATTCTTTCTTTCATCGGCGCCGCCCCCAGCAACAACCACGCTCCCGCTCGAGACTTTCTCCCTCTTTTACTCAAGGCGGTGCTCCTCCTCGCCGCCGAAAACCGCCGTCCCAACAAAACCAGCGCTACCGCCCGCGACGTCCTATCGTTTTATATTGGATACTCTCTTTTGAATTGGCGCCGCTCCCAGCAAGAACAACGCTCCCGCTCGAGGTTTTCCTTTTCTTCCTCAGAACGGTGCTGTTCCTCGCCGCCGACAGCCCCCGTCCCGACAAAACCACGGCTCCCGCTCGAGACTTCTTCCCTTCTTACTCAAGGCGGTGTTCCTCCTCGCCGACGACAACCACCGTCCCAACAAAACCAGCGTTCCCGCTCGAGATTTCGTTTTGTTTTACGCTGAACTAGCGCCCTACTCTCTTCAGAATTGGCGCCGCTCCCAACAACAACAGCGGCCCTGCTCAAGACTTCCTCCCTTTCTATTGAGGGCAAGGTCCTTGCCTCGCCGCCGACAGCCCCCATCCCCACCAAGGCAATCCTGTCGTTTGATACGTCCTCGTGCTTGACCCTTGTCGGGGGTTCCACTGGCGGTCTCGCATCGGCGCAGCAAGGCGCGGGTATGCGTTTTCGAGGCGGGATATCCTAAAATTCCTCGGGGGAGGTGTTTGCAATACCTCATTGGGCGGGAGATCTGGGAATGGAAATATCGGACCCCGCTACAGAACAATAGTCCCCAATGATAGGGACTGTTATTATATTCGTCGCATGCTTTGTGTGGAAATATCGCGCATGAGGGTAAACTTACTGTTGTTGGTGGTGTTGGGTTTTCATGTCTAAAGAATATTTGTTTTTGATCCCCCCTTCGGTAACGATTGTATTGTTCAATTGAAGTGCTTCGTCGG